CGCAGGGTGAGTTTGGTCACTTGCAGCTCTAAGAAGTTGATGTTGCAGGCTGCTTTGGCTGGGAACCACTTGCCTTGAGTTACACAATGTCCCAGGTCCCCCCACAACCAACAAGGCTGGCATCTGTCGTGATGACTACTCTTGTGGGATCCTTGAACGTGTCCCTTCAGTAGAGCCGTCAATTGCCACCACTTTAGAGACCTCTTCCCGGTCGGGGGACTCTGCACCCTCATGGATGAGTTGCTCCTGTTGGCTCTTTGATGGGGCAAGGAGAAGCCATTGCAACTGTCTGGAGTGAAGTCGTGCCCAGGGAACAATCGAGATGCAGGAGATCATCTTCCCCAACAGTTGTGATAGAGTAGCACGGAGATCTGCCTCAACCCCAGAACTTTGCGGGTCAGGGAAACTAAACTGTCTATCCTGTCCTGGGAAAGGAACACCCTGCAAGCGGAGGTGTCTATCACCATCCCCAGATAGATGAGTTTGGAAGTTGGGATGAGATGACTCTTTTCCAGGTTCAGGGAGAACCCATGATTCCTGAGGTACCTCATTGTAATGTGGAGGTCCCGTAAGGCCTTTTTCCTGGATGACAATTGGATGAGAACATCGTCAGGTAACATTGAAGCCTTATGGGCCTGCGCCTGAGTTGCAACCACTGACAGAACTTTTGTCAAGGTCCTGGGTGCTGACGACAGGCCGAATGGAAGGGCCCTGTACTGGTAGTGTTGGCCGGCATAGAAAAACTGGCTCATGCAGCCAAATGACAGAAGCTCTGTTAATGGCCCAGGCTGATGAGTCTTGTGGCAGGCCTTCTCTGCTTTTTTTGTCCTCTGGCTTGAGGCCTTCCAACAAGTCAGCCGGAAGGATTGAATTAGATGTGAGAGCTGCTATAGGGGGGTCTACAGATGGCAGGACCAGGATGTCTTCCAGCGTGGGGTCAACTGAATACAGCTTCTTGTATTCAGCCCGCTGCTGCCTCTCTGCATCCCTAGTCACCACCGCAGAAGGTGCCTTATAGTGATGGCTATTCTGGCTGGCTACCCTGCCCTTCCTTACCCCCTTGTCCCTGCCTGCAGAAGTTCCCTTGCTAGGGGCTTGAGAGGGACCTGGTCTACCATCAGGGGAGTCAGATGGGCCAGGATGCTCCATGGCCTGATGGCACAGACTTCAGACAATACACCAATACAGATAGAGGTCAGGAGATGAAGGAGAGTCTAATGGCTGGTGCTGGATCAGAAGACATGCAGATATTGTGGAGGCAAGAACTGCTTGTGGAAAAATATCCAGGGGAGTAAAACTGGGGCTCTGTAATGAGTCCAATGAATCCATCCACTTGACGGGCGGTGAGAAGGTGGAAAAGCAGACAAGGCTGCAAGACCAGGCAGATAGATCAGGGAGAATCAATGGATAAAAGGCAAAAAATTTACATAAAAATCCTCCTTGTGCCGGTGTATGACCACTAGATGACCAAGATGCCAGCACCGCTTGGGGAAACGCTGGGGGGGAAGTGACCCAGCCAGAGACCCAATCAAGGCCAGCTAACACCCTGCGGCTATCTGCAGAAGCGTGGCTGAGCGGGAACACCAATGGGAGAAAAGACATGAATTCAGGCCCTCCCAATTGGCTGCCACTCTGGTGCGAGGGAGAAGAAGGAGGTGAAGATGGCGGCCACGCAATTTAAAGCGGCCGCACACGCCCTCCAAAGGGTGAGAAAATCACAAAAAAATGACAATTCCAACTAAAAAAGGGAAACACTGGCAGCTGCCGGAAGCCTTGCCGCTCCTGCCATGCTTTAAAGCAAAAGTGGCAGCTCTCCGCTGATGTCCAAAGGCAGCATGGCAAGCGGAGCACCTATCACCACCACGCCTACCTTCGTGTCTCTAGGAGAAACAGTGAAGCAAAAAGGGGAGACAAATGAACTGTTAATTATAAGAAAAACAAATTAAGGAAAAAGAAAAGGAAATACTAGGAGGAGAGTCCAAGCCTAGATAAATTACACTGGAGCTCACAAATATAAATCCTGAACGGGCAGACTGAGGAAAAATTCTGGCGCCAAGTAACACTAGGAGGCGTGGCCAAGGAAAAAGATTCCTCAGTCCCAGGGCAACCAGACTGATTTAACCTGTTGCTTGGACTCTCCAAGTGGTGCACGGGAAAACAAAGGCTTCTCCCCAAAAACATTTTAATATTCTACAACATTGTGACAGTTTGAAACACAAGAGTTGTTTAGCAAGATTTACCTTCACTGAGAACAGGCAATGTCTCCTTCTCAAGAGAGCTTCTTCTTCAACTGCAGGTTCATCAAAGACTCAGTCAGAATTTTGTAAAGATCTCTGTTCAATGAATGTTACTTTGGATATTACCTTAAGGGAATTAGGTAGCGATAGCCTCAGGTTTTGTTTTGTTTTTGCTGATTTGTTTGGCAGGTGGATGGGTCCAATTGAATCTAAAGTAAAATTATATCTCTGCCTGCTATGAAGGAAGGATAAGATCTGCTATTGACAACAATAAGGTATGGGTTTCAATAAATAAAACAAGTAATGTAAATGGAAGATATGTAGCCAATGTTATTATTGGCATTCTGAAATGTTGCAAAGCTGGTGAAGTATATTGTCTAACCTGTGAAACTCTATTAAAAAAAAATAAACAATTCCACTATTGCCAGGTTCTTCGATGAGTCTATGAAACTACCCTGGCCAGATGGTGTAAAAAGGGGAAATATCCTTCTCTTTGTAACAGATGCCACTCCACGCATGACTAAAGCAGGCTAGGGACTTAAACATTTTATTATCAAAAAATGATTCATATCACATGCCTTGCACATGGTTTACCCAGAATGACTACAGAGATTTGAAGCAATTAACTTGATGTTCATTAAAGCTCTACTTGAAGTATAAAAGTTCAAAGAAATTGCTCCTACTTTGGCTCTCCCTCCCCAACCTGTTGTGACTTGTTGGGGGACTTGGATGTGGCTATGTATTACTTCACAAATTATGCTTCCTTGCAGAGAATAGTTAAAGATCTCACAATGACATTATTCTTAGTTATATTTCTTCAGAGAAATTTAGAAAACCATAGAATAGGTGAGTAGATTATAAGACTTCCGTCACTTACTTGCTGTAAGCTGATATAAACACTTCTTATATAGTATTAACATCTAATTCAATATTATAACTAGTCCTGAACTAGGTTTCCCTTGCATTTTCACACTGCAATCCAGACATCATAGCTGATATTTTTAGAACTCTTATTATATATACAAACATACTTTCCCCACACATGCTCACATATGCTCACACACACCCAAAATTCAGTTTTCTTACTGTAAAAAATGCCCTTATTTCAAATGATTTCTTAGTTTCAAATAATATAGACACAATGGCCAAAATTATTGATGTGCTCTTCTGTTTTCAAACAGATTCAATCCAGAAAATAAATTTGTGATATTGTGTGTGTATGTGTGTGACATTGTCCTATTCATTCTGCATTATCATCTCATTCTAATCCATATTCCCTAATTATTAAATACAGTCCCTAGTAACCCAACACTGCCTTTTTGTAAAGACTGTGATTATATAATAATGAAAAAAGGATACAGTGATGAAGGGTATTAAATGGATGGAGCTCCATATGTGGCTAGGATAGAGGATGAACTAATGAGACTTCCTTTACATTCATTTCACTGAACTTGAATCTAATATTTTAAGACTCCATGCAATTGTTCAAGGTCCCTAGAGCAGTTGAGGATGCTAATCATTCCAATTATTAAAACTTGACAGTACTTTCTAATTTAACTACAATAAGGAATAAAAAGGAAGTCATTCTAATTCAACTGCTACCTCAGATAAAGAAATTTTATAGACAATCACAGTTAATTCAAAATAAGCAGTACAAAATAACTGTTGGCATGATCAGTTTTACAACTCCATAAATTAATTAACCTTAGAACTGTTTGGAGCTGAGATCTATAGATAGTCCTCGACTTACCACAATTGAACCCAAAATTTGTATTGTTAAATGAGTTTTGTCCCATATTATGACTTTTCTTGTCAACTTTCTTGTCACAGTTGTTAAGTGAATCAGTGCAGTTGATAAGTTAGCAACAGGGCTGTTAAAGGAATCTGGCTTCCCCATTGATTTTGCTTGTCAAAAGGTTACAAAAGGTTATCACATGACCTTGGGACATGGCAACTGTCATAAATATCGATCAATTGCCAAGCATCTGAATTTTGATCACATGACTACGAGGATGCTGTGAAAAATGCTCATGTTCCTTTTTCAGTGACATTTTAACTTCAAACTGTCACTAAATGAACTATTGTAAGTCAAGAATTATCTGTAATCTATTGTATTTTGTCAGTAGACATGCAATCTGATGGTCATCAAGTCTTCTGGCCTCCAGAATTTTAATTTATTTTTAAATTACAGTAGCTATGCCTACTATATATGCCTTACCCAGAATGTCTGTATGGATATTGAAGGCTAAGCGATTAAACTGGTCTGTTATCCAGTATTTCATTCAGAATTAGAAAAGGCAAATGACAAATTGGACAAAACATCAGAGGAAAAAATTGGAAATGGTGATGAAGTCATAATAAATAAATAATTTTGATATACTCATAAAAACATAAGGGTATGTATCATACTGTACAACTAAAAATTAACATTTCAATTGGTTCCTTTAAAAAAGGAAATGCAAAAATAAACATAAACAAACATAGATTAGTATGATAAGTATATATTTAAATGGAGCAGAGTTTGATTAAACTGGTGCTGAAAAGCCCTGGGAAACTGAGAATTCTATATTGTCCTCTGCTTCTGAAAATAAAGGACATTATTCATTGATACACTGCCCCAGAGTCCACTTCAATCCCAAAGGGGAAGCATATAATGGCCAACTTGCTCTAGCTGCTTCAGAGAACATGAAATATATATGAATATATTATTAACAACAGAAGGAGAGGTAGTTGGTGTCCTAAGTGTACTTACAAGACACTTACCCCATTCTTTGGATACGCAATCCATCCAAGATCTGCCATAACTGATCTTGAATCCAATAAATTCACTAAAAGAGATCAAAGAAAGAATGTTAATTGAGTGTAAAATGGGCACTGTCTCCAATGGCATAACTAACAGGCAAAATATATTTCATATATTATTATTATTACATATACATACATATAAATACATTATGGATAAATACATATACATACATACATACATACATACATACATACATACATACATATGTATATGTATTTAGTGTGTGTGTGTGCATATGTGTGTTTGTGTGTGATATAAAAAACTTCTTATACCTTTAATTAGCTAAATGATTATGAAGGACTGGAACATCTAGGTGGGTGATATCACTTATTTTAAAAGTACTTTGCGTTGGCGCTGCAGATAATACATTCCACAACAATAAAAGAGAATATTTGTAGTCCAAGTTTGAAATGAGGGATTTCTGGTGGTCTCTGCGCTTGTTTGTTTTCTTGCAGACATTTCATTACACCAATGCTAGTAAGGAGTGCTGTTTGCTGTCAATTTATATGTTTATATGTTTATGTCAGTGGCTTGCCCTGTCAGTATGGGTGGGGATGGTCATAGAGATTTGGTGTTGGGGCTGTTGGCTTCTTTGGCAGTTTCTTAATTGCGGTATTGTTTAGTTGATTGCTGGTCTAATGTTAACGATGGAGCTAGATAATCTATGCTGATCTTGGTGCTGATTGCTGATGGAGAGGTACTTGGGTCTTTGTGTTCCCTTTTGGGATGGTTGATTGTCTCTTCTGTATAGTCTGCAGACGTTAATGTCTATGTGTCCATTGATGGTTTATTTGTCAGAGTGTCACTCCACAACAAGCTAAAATCCAAACCAGAATCAAAACAGTTAAAAAAGTAAATTTTAGCATTTCTCTAATAGAGATGGCACAAAAAAGTGATTCAAAAATATATTCCTTTTATAACCTGCTTTAATCATGCAGGGATCATTTTGCTTCAGACAATACATGAGAGTATGAAAGGAAGAGAATTAATCATGTGTACCCATACTAGAGATGGTATTCTGCCAGTTCGCCCCAAACCGGAAGCCATGGTGGCAGGCTCCGCCCAGCCACCCAGACATCATCATGGATGCTCTGTGCATGTGCAAAAAGTTTGTGTATACGCACATGTGCCACACACAAGCAAAGCACGCATGCGCACATGAAGTTCTGAACCGGTAGCGAAGGTATGAGCAAACCTTTACTGGTCTATACAGCATATATTTATAAATAACAGTGTGTGATACACTTACAACAGAACTGAAGTAAGTTTATACAACCAAAATTAACACCACCACAAACTCAGAATTATACCACACCAGAATTAAATCACTTTAGTAAAAATATTAGCAGGCTAAGGTATCAAATCAAGGCCTACAGAGAAAAGAAAAAGGAATCAAACGAAGAACTGGAAAAAAATAAATAAATAAATAAAAAATGCTTGCTGGTTCAAAAGTGAGGCAAACAACAAAAATGCCTCTCATTTCCATTCTCCCACCTTCACCCAGAAATATTATTCTTTCCTAATGTTCCAAGAAGAATGTTCAAGAGCCTCATATGTTTGTAAGTTCTGGAAATCAAATGGAGATATACAAAGACCGGTATATGAAATTTAACAAAAATGGCCTACAGTCAATGAAGCTATGATTCCAGGTTGCATCTGGTTTTTAAAAATGAGACACTGCCTTTGAGAATAAGGTCCATAATTTTAGGAGATGCTACAATTTCAGTATATTTTGGGCTGACAATTCTATTTTTAATGAAAATCCTTTTGCAAAATTGTAGATTTGTTGAACAGTATTATTTAAATATGATTTGAGAATTAACTTCAGTAGGAAAAGTGGCTCATTATATATTTCAAGATTCAAATTGATTCAAATTCCTAAAAGGTTATAGAATAAAACTCCCTGGCAGATTGTGCCTTCTGCTGCCAAGCAATGCAGCCAATTAATGAGCAGTTTTAGCTTAAATAGTAATAAACTATTCCAAACTTATAATATTTTTCTTGCAATATCTAAGATCTCTAGTCTAAATAGAAAATATAATTGAAAGATAAATCTATTAAACAAGCTAAGGAAAATTATAGCGCTTTCTTCATTTTTCAACTATGGCAATCTAACAAAACCTAATATTTTCAAAGATATGAGAATTATTTAGATGGTACAACTTTCATTTTGCTGCATCAATAGGAGATATATGGGTTTTGGTTTTTTTACAAATCAACTTTTTCAGAAGAATTATTTTATCCTCAGAACTATTACTCTTTGCATTATGTAAAAGTACTGTATTAACAGAATAACAGTGTTGGAAGGAACTTTGGAGGTCTTCTAGTCCAACCCCTTGCTCAAACAGGAGATCCTCTACCATTCCAGACAAAAAGCTATCCAGAATCTTCTTAAAATCCTCCAATGATGGAGCACCCACAACTTTCGTAGGCAAGCCATTCTACTGGTTTATTGTTCTCTTAGTTAGGAAAATTCTCCTTAGTTGTAGGTTGCTTCTCTCCTTGCTTAATTTCCACCCATTGTTTCTTGTTTTGCCTTCTTGTAATTTGGAAAATAGGTTGACACCTTCTTCTTTGTGGCAGCCTCTCATTATTATTATCAGTGTATTATTATGTGGTTAATCTTTGGTGAGATTCACAGCCTTTGGGGCTGGTTGGTAGCTCAACAGCTCAAGTCCTAAACAAGTTCCTAAAAACTGTTAAGGTAATGCCGGAGTATATAAGCTGTACCAAGTAGGATGATTTTTTGTAGAATATTATTATTATGTTGTTATATTATTATACAATTGTATCACAATGGTCAGTTGTTTAGCTGGATTTGGTATTGATTGCTAGCTGGGCCCCACCCAGGGGCCTATGAAGTTGTAATGTATTTTCATAATATGCATGCAGATCCAAGCAGTGCGGCTTTTTGCATTTGACTGATGGTGATTTTGTCAATTTTTAACTGTTTTAAATGTAATTTCAGTGCTTTTGGAATAGCACCCAGTGTGCCAATTACCACTGGAATTACCACTGCTGGTTTGTGCCATAGTGACTGAATT